CGGCCTCCGGCAGCGCCGCCGGTACCAGCGGCAGCGGCGCTTCCAGGGACACGGGGCGGCCGGCGGGTGAGTGGGGGCCGGGGCTGGGCCGCTCGGCCTGGGGAGGAAGACGAGCCTGATGAGAGCCGCAGCTCCGGGAAGCGAGATCTGGAGAGGGAAGCCGGATCAGGAGAGGGAGGCCGGGGGTGTGCGACGTTGGGAGTCGCTGCGCTTCCGTTGGCTGCGGCCCCGGGCATGTGTCTGTGCCTTGTGACACAGGGTGACAGCCCTAATACCGAGGTTGTAAATCCAGAACCTGGTGCATAAGCAGGTTTGGGAGGATTGACTTGCATATACAGCTTACAGCTTCAGCGCTTGTAAAGATGTTTTCATGTATAGGAAGGAGTTGTTTGTTGTTTTTTTTTTTTCCAGTGGAACGTATTCTTGTGATCACAGGCTTGTAATGCCTCTAGCTTTAGAAGTAGCCCTTTTGGATGATGAAATCTAAATTAGCTTTGCCTGTTTTAGTGGGCTGTTGGTGCTCACATAAAACAATTCTGTCAAATGCAAGCAGAGAAGTGAAAATATGCTGACATTGGACAAGCTTAGGTGGTGGGACCCGAGATAAGCAAAAGTCTGTTGCAGCTGTAAACATTGAAGGCAGTGCACAGCAGGAGTAAAGCAAACTCACTCTGATCACATCAGAGGTAAAACCTGGAGCAGCTACAGCTCCTCACAAGTCGAGGAGAACCTAGGTCACATTCCGTGAATGTTTGTACCACTGTGAGCAATGGTAGGAAATTGTGGAGGAGAGCACTGCTGATGCGCTTTGGAAGAAAGCCAGGGCTTTCTCTCTCCAGGACAAAGTACGACATTACTGATCTGTGACGTTATTTATAAGCTTAGTGGCCATATGTGTGTAGAAGATGTTTTTTTGTTCTTTTTCCTAATTTTCAAGTGAAGGGAGCTTAGCTTCTGAGCTTGTTTCTTTCTTATTTTTTTAAGCAAATGTTGCTTAAACATGGTTAGAACACAAAATATTATTTTCTGTAATTATGATATGATTCTGTTATAGTTTGCTTATGAACTTATATTGCCAGTCATTAAAGGGAGGGTTGGGCAAAGGCTAGGCTGAAATAATTCTTGGATTTTTACCCGTTTTTTCAGGAGATAGTTCCTTATGTTAAAGGTAATTTAAGGCATGAATAGCATTTCATGCTGCTGAATGTGATTATTCTGAATATTGCATACTACTGCAACAAAATTGGCCTTCTTAAGGGAACTAGGTATGTGATGCAGTGATACAATACAGTTACAAACAAAGACTGTTGTGCTGATGCTTTGGCTTCAGATTGCAGATGGGTATATCTGGAACAGCTAAAGTGATTATGTCTCTTTCTTCCCTGCTGTAGATTATTGCCCACACAGCAGGCGAGGCAGGGCAGGTCATGTATCTGTCCCTGTGCCAATGCAGTTTACAGCCTGTGTGCTTATGTAAGCTGAAATACGTGACAGCTTTTGTTAATTTTGCAGATCTTAAACTGGGATGTCAAAAAGTGGGATTGTTAACTGCCTCTGCCACTTCAGTCTGCCTGCAGGTGTGTGCTAGAGCAGCACTATTTTAACAGCACCCTGGGCAGTGGCAGGTTCTTTATGGACAGTCACCATGACTTAAGAACTTCCTCTCCTGGTCCCTGCCTGCCTTGCTGAAGGAGATTACTGCTCATCCACTGGGAACAGTAGGGCAAAAGGTTCATTCAGGCCCCAGCTGCCCTGTGGCTGACTGGTGCAAACCCCTGTTAAGGACTATGTGGATGCAAGATCCTAGACATTGAGCTGGATGGATGTTGTATTTGGCTGTCCTTGCTGAATAAATAGTAACCCTTGGCAAAAGAGTGTATTTCTCATATGAGGAACATCTTGAATCACTGCAATGTAAATCTGTCAGAGTCTAAGGGTTGCCAGGGTTTCTTAATGTGATGGAGTTAAATATAATTTGAATATTTACTTTCCTAGTCCCATGTAGCTGCTTCTTTGTGCAGTCATTTAATTTAATTTATTCAATGGTGAATAAATCAGTCTCTGCCACCAACTTCAATAAATGTGCTGCTTTTAACAGAGCAAATGAAAGCTTTCGCCTGGTGCTGTGTGCTCAAGCCAGGATTGGGAGACTGCCTATGTTCCCTCCTGCCATAATTGAAGAATCTCTTACTAGAATGCAACAGACAACTTGGGTAGGCTTTGATAATGCCAGTGGAATCCATTTTAGTATTATACATGTAGTGGTTTGATACTGGCCCAGTGCCAGGCACCCACGAGTGATGACTGGGCAAAGGAGGGAAAAAGAAAAAAAAGTTAACAAAGGCTTCATGAGTGAGATAAGGACCAAGAGGAATATTTCAAGGGCAAAAGAGGCTTAACTTTAGTTGTGAAGTAAAATTTATTGCTAACAGAATCAAAAGAGGATAATGAGAAGTAAAATAAGCCCTTAAAACACCATTTTCCCCTCAGCCCCTCCCTCCTTCCCACTGACAGGGGAGAACAGGGAGACAAGGCATGGGGATTTTGGTCAGTTCCTCGCTGAGATTTTCTTCTGCTGCTCCAGGAGAGGAGTCCTTCCCCTGTGAGGCCGTGGGGTCCCTCCCACAGGAGACAGTTTTCTGTGAACTTCTCCAGCCTGGGTCCACTCTCACAAGCAGCAGCCAAACTGCATCTGCTGCAAATGTGAGTCCCTCCCACGGGCACACAGTCCTCCCAAAACTGCTGCAATGTGGGTCTCTCTTCCCACGGGGTCCAGTCCTCCAAGGACAGGCTTCTCCAGCCTGGAAGCAGGGGCCTCCTCTCTCCAGTGGGTCTTCCACTGGATCACAGCCTCCTCCAGGCATCCACCCGCTCCAGCGTGGGCACCTCCCCATGGGCTGCGGGTGGATCTCTGGATCCGCCGTGGATCCCCATGGGCTGCAGGTGGATCTCTGGATCCCCCGTGGATTCCCATGGGCTGCGGGTGGATCTCTGCATCCCCCGTGGATCCCCATGGGCTGCGGGTGGATCTCTGCATTCCCCATGGATCCCCATGGGCTGCAGGGGCACAGCTGCTGCACCATGGTTATCACTACGGCCTGCAGAGGAATCTCGGCTCCAGCACCTGGAGCACGCTCCAGCACCTGGAGCACCTCCTGCCCCTCCTTAGTCAATGATCTTGGTGTCTCACATGTTCTGACCTCCTCCTCTTCTCTGACTAGAAGTTTTGATTTTCTTAAACATGACTTTGTTTTGATTTTCTTAAATATGTCATCACAGGTGGTATTACCAGCCTCCCTCAGTGGCCTAGTTTTGTCCAGCAGCATGTCTGTCTTCAGAGCCATCAGCCATTGGCTCTGTCAGACATGGTGGGAAGCTCCCAGCAGCTTCACGCAGGAGCCATCTCTGTGGCCCTCCTGCTGCCTAAAACCAGGTTACTTGATATTATCAATGCAGAGTGATCAGTGCAGCAGGCATGAAACAAAGCTGTATAAACCCAGGTATGTTAAATAAGAGCTGGCTCTTACCTGATCCCTGCCTGATTCTCCTTTCCGCATTTGAAAGTGTTGTGGCCTTTTGTCTTGGCTCTCACAGCTCACAGAGCCATGGCTGGCAGCAGCAGTCTCGGCAGCTGGGCTGGGGAGGCTTATTCTAAATGAAATTTGATGATGGTTTTTTGAGACTAGAGAGTGGTGTGATTTTCTTTCCTCTTTTGTCCTTTCTCTGTGTGGGATAAGTATTTTCAGAAACAGTAACAAAACCAGTCACTGACACAAGTTCTATCCGGTAGTAGAAGGTTATTTCTAAGTGAAGTTTTGATGTGAGTCATTGCAGGTTTCATGTGAGCGTCATGTTTATACTTTGGCAAATAGAGTAGCTGGGTCCAGATGAAATTATTTTGCAACACTATTTCTTGGAAACTTTCTAAGACACTCTTTAATGTTTTCTGTGTTTAAACCACCAGAACAACAGAAGCTTGTAAGTGATTCCTTACTTTGTGCCCATTTGCACATGGCCAATTAAATAGGAGAAATGTGTTATGTTTTCTGGCTGGGGGTAGAGCAGTATTCTGTGTTTTATTATAAGTAGTCTGTAGAAATGTTTATGTCAAGTATGACTGATATTTTTGTCCATTCTTGCTTGTATTTGAATGGAGATAAAATAGGCTGTGTTTTACTCTGTGAATTGATACTTGGTATACACGGAAGCTTTGGTGCTGAGGGATAGAAAAGTTATGGTAGGACATAGGTCTAATTTTCTTTTTAATCTGGCATCTCAGACTTACATAAATTTGTTCTCTATGAGGTTATTCTAAACAAAAGAACACAAAAACTGATGCATCTTCAGTGTACTTCAGTTCTTCAGCAGGATATGATTTTGCCTGTCATCCTAACTCAGTTCTGAAAGTTGAAGTTCTTAAAGAAGCTGCTTCTAATTCAACTTAAACAATTCAGATTATTTTTTATGCATACATTTTTAGAAGTTTTCTTGAAGAACATGTGAGCAGAGCTCTTGATTATGTTCTTGCAGAGAGGTTAATGTGGTTGTACTTTACTAGTTAGTGTTAACTTTGTGTTAGTGCAATAAAATCTGGGTAATGTGAACTATTTCTGTTGCAGGTCGGGAGTTCCTTATCCCTTCACTGGCACACAGGTTCATAGCAGAGATGGTGGATTTTTTTATTCTGTTCTTTATAAAGGCAACCATCATTTTAAGTATTATGCACCTCAGTGGAATAAAGTAAGTTGAATGATTTAAAGCTTTGTTACATACAGCTTTAAGCTTTTCATGCTCTTTGAGGTGTCAGGTTGTATTTATGGTATGTTTATGCATATGATATGATTAAATAACTGACAGAAGTTGAGGAGAACCACCACCAGGCTAACTTCCTTGTAAATACATCCTGATTTTGGGTCAGCTGATGGAAACACAGAATTTGTACAGGTCTGTAGGCTCACAAACTCCCTACTAAGGAAAGATTAGACTTGCACATTTATGGGGGGTAGAGGAATAACAATATTATTAAAAAGTCCTTTATAATTTTCAAAGAAAAAACATGGACAAACTTTTTAAATGGCCTCTGAAAATGTAGTGATCTGTGCTGATAGTGTAGATCTGGCTGGGAAGAAGTTAATTTTCTGTATAGTGTCTTTTGTGGTCTTGTGTTTTAGATTTCTGACCTAAACAATGCTGCACTCCCCCCCCCGCCCCCCCAAAAAAAAAATCTGATCAAGCAGATCATATATATATGTACTTTGAAAATACAGCCTGGTTGCTAGGAATGCTGCCACACTGCAGGCTTCACTGGGTGTAAATTTGGTTTCTTAAAGGTGCAAGTAAGCTTTGCGTGTGTGTGTCAACCATACACTAGACTGAAAGATTTCCCATTTCACATTTTTTTACACAGATGTAGTCGCTTACCTCAAACACTTCCCTTTTTAACTGCTTCTTTAACTGTAGATATCTTATTCCTTAACTCAGTTACTCTGCTTTGGGTTCAGATATTTCAGTCTGATTTAAGAGATGAGATCTTGTTGTAATCAATAACTCCACTACTGAACAAACACATTTCAGAACCCATGCTTTCTGTTCAAGAACGATCCAAATGTTACCTGACTGTAAAGTGATGCTATACAGATAACATCTTCCAGACACCTTCACCTGCAGCTTGAAAGGGGTGTGGAAGAGGGTTAGATCCAAACCACTAAATACGTTGATGTAAATGATCGCTGTGTTTTGTTCAGATAAGCAGCAATTAAAATGCCAAACGTTCATTTCTGTTTAGTGGCCAGATCCCACCTCCTGTAACCTGACAGCTTGTGTTTCCTTTTTGCTGTTAGTAGGTGGAGAATGATACAAAGTGAAGTACTGGAAAGACAGGGAACAACTATATGTATATTGCTGCTGTAAAGTGATGAAAGAGTAATTTACAGCATTTTCAATATTAACAGTTTCATGAGACAGTTGCTTGCAGGGAACTTCAGAGAAATGTTCCGGGGGGGTTTCTGCTTGAGAGACATGGTGTGCTTGGGGTTAGGCTGAATTGTCACGAAAATCATAGGTCCTCACAGGCTCAGAAAAGACACTTCAGGCCAAAGCTGTATTGAAGGGAAATGCAGGTTGTGCTACACTGTTTTTTTAATTCCTGTCTTGTTTTGGGGTTTTCAGTCCTTAAGTCTGAATAAAGAGGAGGGCAAGTAGCAGAAATATTAGATGGACTGTTATGAAGTGGCACTGCACAGTTCTATGTGAACCTTAATTAGATGCATGAGTGAAAAATTCTTGCCTTAATGTGTTGCAAATATATCCATTCCAGGTATCAGATAAGAACGTTAAATCTGTGGAGTTTATCTTATAAAAATACGCCATTAACTCCAAATGGATGCTTCACATAGCTCTGTTTTGCTAAATACCAAAAGGTTTCAATTGCTTTCCTTAAATCCTCCTATTGCATACCAAGGTGCCTCCAGATGAGTATGGTGAGCAGTAAAGAATGAGAAACCCTGATGAGAACCTGATGATCATGCAGTGGAGGATTTAGTGGCTCCCCTGATTCCTTAGGGAGATTGCCAACTTCTCCTTTGCATTCGTAAAGAGTGCCCTTTTCTTTTTCCTTGAGTGTTTGTGTAAGAAGATACTTGGGAGACTTGGATGCCTTCCATTTATATAAAGTTAGATGATTATGTGCAGAATCTGTTTACCTCCCAAGTGTGAGAATTTTCAGAACAATTCTGCAGCTCACTACCCAGGGACCCCATTGTACAAAAGGGGTAATAAAGAACGATCTTTTCTTAATGAAAAAGACAAAAAAAACTAGGCAGCAATTCAGAATGAAAGTGAGTGTTCTGAATTTTAATGGCTTGTTTAGTATCAGAAAGGGCAAGGAGCTTTTGTTCTCTTACAATACCAGAGTGGAGGGAGTGAATTCTGGTATTAAAGGGGTAACACTGGTATTGGGAGAAGGTCGATTTTAAAGTTCAGTTTTATTTTGTACAGGGACATCTCTAAATTTGCCATGCATTACATCATAGAAGAAATAGATGAAGATACGTCCATGGAAGATTTACAGAAAATGATGATAGTAGCTCTCATCTACAGGTTATTAGTCTGCTTTTATGAGGTAACTACTCATAAACATTAACTCCTGTAATTAATAGTTGTGAGTTGTTGAAGAAACGGTTTTAAAAAATAATGTTATCGTTGGCCAGTAAAGTAAATCCTCTTTACGGTATTTTGGATTATGTTGAAGCTTATGATATTCACATAGTTCTGAGGATAACTAAGTTTGTGAGACTTGTCAACAATACTGGTGGTGTGTGGAATTGAAATAAACTTTCTCTTACAGATAATCTGTATTTGGGGAGCAGGTGGAGCAACCCCAGGGAAATTTTTGCTTGGACTGCGAGTTGTGACGTGTGAAACATCTGTACTTATTGCACCCAGCCGTGTGTTAGTCATTCCATCTTCTAATGTCAGTATGACAACGTAAGTGCTCCTGGCTCGGTCTCATTGCATTCCAGTTAAGTGTCAAAAACATGTGACTTGGAAGTTCACCATTGCTTTGTTGTTGACCTTTGCAATAATTAGACTGCAACAGCTATTGTCAGATTCTGTGATCTAAGAATAAAATGGTAATTGTTCACACATGGGAGTATTTTTCAGGGTAGGTGGTTAAATCTCCTCTAGAGCTCGACTTTTGTGCTGTTCAAAATTTGGGGGCTAAACTTGGAAATTAACTACTAAATGTCAGCAGAAGAGTGAAAGTAGGGCACTGAACGTTCTATTCTGATTTCAGGTCCACGGTACGAGCTTTGATCAAGAATTTTTCTATTGCATCATTTTTTCCTGCATTCATTACGCTGCTGTTTTTCCAGCATAACAGAACAGCTTATGATATTGTAGCAGGAACTATTGTGGTCAGAAGAAATGGAGTTAGATGATACCAAAAAATGAGATTTCTGGACTGGTTCTGAGCATCGCCTCCAAACCCCGGTGAATAAAGACCTACCCCAGAACTGAAATTGAGGTGTCTGTTGGAATCTTTTGCCCTAATTACATAGGAACTGATTCAGAAGCTGAAGAAAATGTATGGTTCCTGTATGATGCCAGCAACTACCTTTGAAGTATTGGAGTTTTCATAGCTGCCAAAGAAGTTTTGGAGAGAAAGTATGTATTAAATCCTGGAGTATTTAACCTCTGATGAAACAAAAACTGTCTGCTTTAACTGCAAAAAGGAGCTGTTCTGTTTGTCTGTGGAAAGCAGATGCCTAGGAATACACCACCTTACAAGAAGTGTTGCTTCTACAGTTTTGGATGTTGGCAGGTAACTAGAAAATGAAGTTCTGTTCCAGACAGTTGCCTGTCAAAGGGTAAGCGGGAAGAGACCTGCAGTATTAGACAGCAAGGCAAATGATGTTAATTAAATTGCCATGTATCCAGAAGGAGAGTGGTTATCAGTGTCTTTTATTATTGCTTCACAGATCATATTCCCTCACCTTTTAAGTATTTTCTCACAACATTGATGTGAAAAGTTTCTTGCATGATTGTCTCAAGCACTGTCACTTACTTCACTTGTCCAGGCTAATGAAGAAGTGAAACAATAGCTGCTTTTTCCTGTGAGAAGGATATGTTAACACTGTAGTGTTAGTGATCTGATGTGTGTAAATAATTCTGGAGCCAGCAACAGTACAGACCATGCTAATCAAAGGTAACTTTTTTGCTTCTGTTTGGAGAGAAAGCACTTGTCTATTACTTGCATATAATGCAGAGAAGAAGTGAATGTTTCAGGAGCATGCAGAAAACATTAAACTGAAATGTGTTATGGATGTAAATCTGCAGAAGTACAAATACTGGTTTTCACTTTATCATTCTGGCTAATTGTTTGTATATTCAGAATAATTTAAATACTGAATAAAGAAACCTAATATTTTGCATGACTACATTGCTTTGATGATTCATTTATTCTCATGTTATCAGTATCTTGGGAAAGGGATATAAGCAATACTAGTGTTTAACTGAAATCTGAGTTTGGAACTCTTCAGTCACAGTTTTTGTGTGTTCCTCTTAGCCCTAATATGCCACTCAGTGGCTGAAGTTCTCGCCCTGCCTTCAATTTTGAACAATAGTTTGGTTACCACTCTTGTCTCCAGGCTTAGTAACTTAAATCAGGAATGTGTTCATATGCTGCAATGTTTTTGTTTGACAAGTCATGTTCTGCTGTGTATGACTGTATTGTGCCTGCATTTCAGTTTTCATTTGGAATGATTCAGGACTAGATCCCATGCTTAACAGTTGCCGAATGATATTTTGCCAGCCATTACATCTCCAGAATGAGGTCATTAACTTTTTAGATAACTACTTTTAAATATTTATTTTTTAAGTAAAGGTAAAAAAGTTGTCTTGGCTTGAACGCTGTTTTTTAGAGTCCTCGCTCAATCACATTTTTTGAATACTGCCAGGGGTGGTGATCCTACTACTTACATGGATAGCCTCCAGTATTATTTTTTCTCCTAACATCCAGTCTAAATCTCCTGAAACCAACTTGAGGCCATTTTCTTGTCCTAGAACTTCTTACCTGGGATGAGACTAACCCAACTAACCGCCAACTATACCCTCCAGTTGTAGAGAATAAACCAGGCAGTTGTAGAGAATAAAGTTGCCCCTGAGCCTCCTTTTCTCCAGGCTAAACACCCCCAGTTCCCTCAGCTGCTCCTAACAGGACTTGTGCTCCATTCTTTTGAAGACTTAAGCACTGAGGTCAGGTGTGGCAATCAGCCTGACAAAAGCTAAAGCTATCAGAACCAACTTAAAAGTCCTTTCTCGGGTGAGTTTTGCCTAGAAACAACAAGAACTTTTATTCTCTTTAATGCAGCAGTGACCTATAATCTAGAATTCAAAAGGGGGAGGAAGGGGAAAACAACACTGTCAGCTAAAACTTTATTACTGCCAGGTATAAGGAAAGGTATCTCTTACCCTGCAAAAAATACCACCCCTTCCACAGGAGGTAAAGACAATTTCAATGCAGGAACACAGAGACTATCCACAGAAACATGTATACAGTGTGCTGTTGGCTGGCTTTTAGTTTGTCTCTTATGCAAGTTGCATCCCAGATACGTGCTTGTTTCTGCTTGATGGGCAGGTGCATGGCAGGTGATTAGGTGCTAAGGGGGAGAAAGAAGAAATCTGTGGCATTTTTCACTTCTGGACAACAGCAGGAAACAGTTAATAGATTATAATCCTTTCATGGCCACAGTGGCATGATCTGACTGCCCGAATAGCAGTGAGTGTGTGTGTGGTTTGAAAGGCGACTTGCTGAGCATTTTCTGTTTCTAGAACATGTTCTGTTTCCAGAGCGACTGGAGCCCTACACCTGAAAAGAGCAGTTGGCCTTTGCCCTCCTGTCATGTCCAGCTTGTGCCTGAAAGGCATCTCACCTTGTACCAGCAGCAGCTGCAGGAGCAGGGAGCAGTGCCACGATGCATGGCAGAAGTGCCTCTGAAGACATTTACACCACTGAGAGGGATGCAGGTCTCTGCCCTTCTATAGCTGGGAGAAGTCTGATAGACTTGGTACAAATTCAGCTGTGGGTCCCCTAAACAAGCATTTCCTCTCATTTTAGTAGAATAATGTCTGTTCTCCAAGAAGTTCCTGTAACTGCTACAGAAATGCCCACCCCCTATTACTCATTTACAATCTTTTCAGTTAGAACAGTGGTGAATCTTGACCCACAATAGGTTGGATTTTTTTAATAGCACTACAAAAAATTAACTGCAGTCAGCTTGTGAAAAAGCAGAGGTTGAAGAAAGCACAAGACATTGCTCTGGTTGAGGGAACCACCTCATACAGTTACAGCTGGGGATGCCTTTACGGAGAGTTAAAATTGCCAGGTAATATTTCGCAGTTTTTATTGATGGCATTTATCCCATGGTTTAACATGTTAATTATACTGTAATAAACATGGCTTTAATATTAAACTTTTCCTTATTATCCAAAGTCACCACAGTCCATTTCAGTAAATATAAAAATATATACTTAATACTTTGTACAATACTGGTTTTTGGTCCAAACAAAAATGGATCAGAAAAGCCAATAAACTTACTTTAAGAATTCCCAATTTTAAAGATTTTCTAAATGGATTTAGGCAACTTTGAATAATGGGATTTACATAAAATCTGAGACGATACTAAACAAAAATGGCTGTAACACACAAAATTAAAATTTCAATTTCACAGATTTGTTATGCCAAAAAAGTACATAGAGAAACAAAATTGTATTTACACATTTCATAATAAAATAACAAGGCGAGACAGGTGATAAAGGGCTGTAAGAATGAAAATATAGAAATAGCATATAATTATTAAATGAAGAACTACAGATCTAACAAGTCCTTAGCATGGATCATCCTTTAATCAGTCTTCCCCTATCAGAAAATTTTAGTGCACAATACACCCAAACTCACTCACTTCACACATACACCAGCACAAACTCAGCATAGAAATCATTCATTATCAACATTCTCTACTCTATACAGCATCCCTCGCTGATATAATTACAATTTCGAGGCGTCAGTAAACGCGGATGAGCGCACGTAGTGGTGCGGATGAAGAGGTATCAACAAGCCATTCACTGTGCAGGCTCTACTCAGGGCTACAGCCAGACCATGCCGAGTCAGTGAAAGAAGTAACTTGAGACTTTTGCTTGAGAACAGCCTTGTTGCCAACTTTACTTGCTACCAAAAATACGTTAACAGGGAGAGGGGAGGGAAGGACAGGAAAGCTAAGTTTTATATTCCTTTAGGCAGATCTGACTTCTGACAAGCCAGCATGAGGTACAATCCCAGTAACTGAACAATTCAGGGTAGTAGCTGGACATTTCAGGATAGTAGCTGGACAATTCAGGATAGTAGCTGCTTCCAATGTTTTTGATGCTTTACCAATCAGGCGTTTACTTTCTACGTCTAACTGCAGTCTTTATCTTCCGACCAGCAACTGAAGATCCAGAGGCAGAGAAAACATTTTTCCCATTAGTCCTATTAAAAGAAATTAGTAGTTCAGAGTTTAGGACAGTGTAGCTGAAAATTCAGTAGCAGCACTGAGTAGATATTCCAGAATAACTTTCATAGTCTTGTCTCACTAGTTACCAGCTGGCAACAAGCAGCAAGTGACGAACAGGAGGAAGAGAGTTCCAGAAACCAATTAAATCTCTCTTATTCAGAAGGTAAGCAGCAGCATAATGGCTGGATACAGGTTCTACCTTTCAAGAACAAGACAAGCTCACATGTGTTGATGTGTGACATTCCTGACAGCTAGGCTCCTTCACAGATAACGGTGCTTAGTTAGCCAGTCAGGTTAATACAAGGAAGGATGCCAAATTTAGTTTCAAACTCCAAGGTTCATCTGAACACCTCATGATTTAACAGCAGTAGAGGCTGAACACTGTCCACTGATATTACCCGAAGCTCAAGGGAAATTCTGATACGGTCTCTTACCCCACTGTAAATGCTGGAGGCTGGTTGAACGAAAATCCTGAAGTGCCAGAAGGCGGTGCAGGAGCTGCTGGTGCAGGAGGATTTGCACCAAAAGTGAATACTCCTGGGTTATTTGGAAAGCTGAAATTAGTAGTACTACTTCCAAACCGGAATACAGAACCTGGGAAGATGGGGTGGAAGCAGAAAGAAGTAAGAAAGCTGAAAACTGAGTTCATCTTTTCCAGGAAAATCCTCATGTTCTTCCCCATTATCTTTAAAGATTATTCTTTTTACAGATTTCTCAAGATGACAAAGTTGGGGGGGTGGTGCACCAGAAATGTCAGATTACTACAGGAACGGCTTATTGAATGAATCCATTCACACAGATTGGGGAATTTTTAAAGTAATGCTGCTGGCACACTGATAATTAGTTGTTTGCTAACTTCTGTGCCACCATTAAATTTATACCTGTGCATACTGAGGTTTATTAATTGAGTCTTAAACTGTAAATTTATATTCAGGTAAACTTTTGTGTTCATGCAGTGGATCTGGGGACTTCCTTTCCTTTAAATGTGCTAACAGCACCTCATCTGAAAAAACCCCAAACATTCCAAACATCAGAGCAAACTAATAAGTAATATGGAAAATCCAGGGAGAACTTCACCTTTAAACTGCTACCTGATTAATGAAAGATCGACTGAGTACTGTGCTGTGCTGTGCACTAATCTGCTTGTACTAATCTACTGATTAGTACAAAAATGTTGGTTAATTTTAACGGAGCCTATTCTGTAAAACATCTGAGAGGAAAAAAGGAGGCTTTTTCCTTTCAGTATTTGATGTGATATCAAACAGACATTCTGGCACTGCTTTTATTTTTTAATTATTACTAGTATGGAACAGGTCTTTCTTAAGTTACAAGGTTCATTCTGTGCCCCTTTCCCATGGCATTTTATACTTCATTAGTAAAAAGATCTTAATACAGTCTTAACCCATAAATGTTTAAAAACCTTCCAAATAATTCTGACTGTATTTTATACAATGAAGCCTGTTCAAGTCAGATAACTAAGAATTTCTCAAATCAAAAAATAACAATTTTGCAGCGTGTGTGCACAATCTTACCAGTGTTTACTACTTGGTTTTCAACAGTTCCTTTTAATCATTAGGTTTCTAAAGAAAATAAAGCTCAAAATTTAGTTGTAGAGTTGTAACTGCCGTGTCTGCTAAGTCTCCTGTGGAGAAGGCTTACTGTGAAGCTGGACACCCCTGGCACATTGTGTCTCCACAGTCAGGACAGGGACATAAATGACAACCCTATAGCCATTATTTTTATGGAGGGCAATTCCTATATTTAAATACACGTGCAATGCCAAAGTCATCTTTTTCCATATAATTTAGGGTGCACTTCATGAAAAAGAAAATAAAATACATAATCTTTGAGAGCAAAAGGGAAGAGGATGGGTGGCACTCACCAGC